GTGGGACAAAATCCCTCCTGAGATGTGTGCAAACCTGGTAGCCAACTACAAAAAACGTCTGACCTCTGTGATTGCCAACAAGGGTTTTGCCACCAAGTACTAAGTCATGTTTTGCAGAGGGGTCAAATACTTATTTCCCTCAGTAAAATGCAAATCAATTCATAACATTTTTGACATGCGTTTTTCTGGATTTTTGTTGTTGTTATTCTGTCTCTCACTGTTCAAATAAACCTAGCATTAAAATTATAGACTGATCATTTCTTCGTCAGTGGGCAAACGTACAAAATCAGCAGGGGATCAAATACTTCTTTCCCTCACTGTAGGTAGAAAAAGTAACTGTTTCCAGTGGCGAACCACACTTCCTTACGCCTTCTCAGACCACACTGTGACTAACTACAGTAAATGCCCTTGCATGGTCCGAGCAGTGGGTACACAGGAAGTAAAAAATTGGATCGCATTATTCATTGCCATAAATAATACATAAACTGTCTGAAATTATATCGTTATACAAACCTCAAAGATACTACAATGTTACGCAGCTGATGTGTGCTAAGCTAGCTCAGCTCAACGTGTTATTTTATACATGGTGAGCAACATTCACTCCAATCACTTCTTAACGCGATTCAGATACAAATCAGGGGCTGTACAAAAAAATAAAAGAATAAAGAAAATTAAGCTGCATGAGCCAATGACATTATCAATGCGGACTAGAGAGAATGCCCATGCAGTGGTTGCTACCTTTTTCATGTTAACAGTGACATCAAGGAAAAATTTGACAACCCAAACACTGATGGACAACAAAAAAATCAAATAATATTTAATAATAAACTGGCAGCTTTCATTAGGCATACTAGATATACTGTATTTATTCTGCTGTGCTTTCTAGGTCTATCCCTCTTTAAGATGACCTAATCAAACTCGTAAAATACCTTTGTTTTGCTCATACGTATCCTAAGCCCAACCTTTCAGCCATCTCCACTGTATTAAAGTCTTCCAAAATGTTCTGCAGTTCATCCCCATGGCACGTTAGAATGAGGATGTTGTCATATCTATGAATTAATCAGTTCAAGATAAAGGATAATATGACTGGTAGAGCCTTTTCATTGAGGGTGACATGGATGTTCTCGAAGTATTGGCCTCAAGTAGCCTTATTGGGTGCCACGGTGGCAATGTTAACTTCCTGGAATGGTATTCAGGAGGTCGTGCGTTTGATCTCGACCCCGACGCCTGGATATTTTGAATTTGCATGTTCTCCCCGTGGTCGCATGGATTTTTTCTCTGGGTGCTCGCTTACTCCACCACATTTAGAACACGAGTTTAGACTATTTGGCCCCTATAATTGTCCACGTAATAAACCACTTCGTTGAGCTATCATTTGTGGCCAGATCGCTTCTTAAAAAAGGAGCTATAGCTAAGTGGGCCCTACCTGGTAAAAATATAAATAGTTGAGTTTATACAGGTACTCATTCTTAATTCGTAATTTTAGCAATTTTGAGTTATCTCCTATTCACCAATATTGTACACCATTATACTTAATCAGAAGCAGGTGAGCACATACGATACCATTAACTTCAGTGGTCACAAAACGACTCCAGTATTTGTGATTATCATTATTTTTGCACTATGGGAGTGAATGAGAGTAATATTGATTTATCACTGACAAATATTACTTTATCACTGACCACTGGCACATGACTTGCATGGCAGAAATAGACACCGAACACTAGATCTCTCTTGCCGATTGCGAGCCTCTGTGTTAAGGGCAGTAGTTTTATCACTGCCTTTCACATGGCCGTGTAACTGTAATCACAGAGGTAGCTGGGAATGTGGTCGGTTATCTTTCTGTACATGTGAGCAACATGTTGGTTATTTATTTATTTGGTCATACAGTGTGTATTCGCTTCATATTTTTCCCACCTCTCGAAATGCAGAACTTTAAATTATTTCAGTAATTTTAAGTGGGCTTGAGAACGTATTAAACCTCAATTTTAAATGGGTGAACTTGCCCATCGAAATGGACGTTATTAATGTCTCTTATATTTTCGTTTCCACTGATCGCACTTTTTTTTGACGTGCACCTTTAACACCTCCGCTTTTACAATCACACGTTTAATAATTCGCACACACATCCCCATGCCTGGATAATGCACTGTACATACAATACACATTTACAATCTGGCTCAAAATCATTGTCCATTTGGAAACTGCTGCCCTTTCAGCTACGGCAATGGAGACACTGAAACGCCATAATAGAGATTGGGTCACTTAGCCAATATTGTATATGGGCTTTCTGCAAAGTGCATTATCAGGACAATGTGCATGTATTTTTTTTATCAAGTAATCAAGTGGAAAAACGTCAGGCGTGCTAATTTGCTACGGCCCTGGATTTAAGTAGTGTTGGTATACTGTTTGTGTATGTTTACTCCATTAATTGTTTAAAGATTAACTATTACTTTCCTAAGAAAACTTTAGTGCTCTATTGGCAGTAACTTATTGACGTCCAAGACAGTTTACCACTCAAAACCAACTCACTCACTGGCATCGGCTACAATGGGAGGGCAATTGTAAGAACCTGAAAACAATGACTTTAAAGTGCCTCCCAGTACGTCAATGCCATTAGATGGGTTGGTTACACCCCGAGGCATATATATGACACAAAGGTGTGTACCGCACACAATTAAAATTAAATCCATAAGCTAACATCAAAACAGAAACTTGCAGTCAACACCACATGCCAATAAAATGACTCAAGATTTGGATACAATCCTATTACATGGATTATAAGACACCTAAGAAAGGAAGACGTACCCCCCAAAACCTGTGCCTGGTGTCAATCAATACAACACACACTCACATCTACTGGATTATAAGATGCATCTCACAACTTTGCTTTAAATCACAGGGGGGAAGAGTGCATCTCATTAATCCTGGGTACACTGCAATACATCGCAATACAAAACTTTACAATCCTCAACTCAACGGGACACTATTCTATTATTGCGTGCGATGATATCAGTGTATTCACGAGCTAGGGTGCCAATGGTCGAGATGTAATAGTCACGGCGAAAGTGGACTTCAGGAGAGAGTTGGTGTAGTTTTGATAATTCCTCCTCTGTTGAATGAGCACAGACCACAGCGGTTTTACTATATGGTCCACTTTGGGTTGCCAAGGCCACGATCGCACTCATGTTGCCTGTCTTTAAAGTATGGGTCTCGATGGTGCTCTATATCTCTATATGTGTATCAATGTATGTGTCTCTGAATTTCTCTTGGGGTCTCTGTGTACTGTATCTCTTAAGTGTCTCTACGGGTCTCTGTGTACTCTAGCTATACCGGCCTATAACTCTACGGGCCTTTTTGTAGGTCGATGCATCTCTGTGTATCTCCACGTGTCTCTGATGGCTTTACGAATTCGGTCCGCAGTTTTTTGGGTTGCAGGTCCACAAATCGCACCACCACCACCACAGACTGCTGCTCCGTCCCCCCTTGTGATGAAGACGCGGCTCTGAATCTGCCCGCGTGTAACAGAACACTGCAACAAGTCACTCACAACCACACACACACAACCGGTGGCTGGCTGGCTGGCTAGCCAACAGAGAGGCAGGTGACTGGCAAGGCAAGGGCCAGGCAATCGGTCTCTCGTACTCTCTGACGGGGCCGTGAGTGAACACGCCGGACTGGGAAGACTCCCCAAGTCTCTTTTTGTTTAATTCCACTGTGAATACGGCATCTGCTTTGTAACGATGCTGGTGGTATAAGGGGGAGAGGCTCGGGTGTTAGAACGAGGAAGGTACAACAACAACAACAAGCCTTTCTTGTGCTGCCAAAGCTTCAAGTCACGGAGAATTTTTAAAAAAGTGGCTTTTCCCGTTTTCGAAGCGACGAACCTGCCGAGTGAGTTTGACACTCAGTGACAATCGGACGCAGAGTTTAACAAACACGTTGCACCACCAAGACTTGTCGATGATACACGCGTGACAATGTTGTGGTGTGGTTGTTTGTTTGTTTATGTTTGTGTGTTTATGTTTGTGTGTTTATGTTTGCGTGTGTTTGTGCGCTTGTCTGTGTGTTTGTGTTTCTGTGTTTGTGTGTTTGCGTGTTTGTGTGTTTATGTTTGCGTGTGTGTGTTTATGTTTGCGTGTGTTTGTGCGTGTGTTTGTGTGTTTATGTTTGCGTGTGTTTGCGCGTGTGTTTGTGTGTTTATGTTTGTGTGTGTTTGTCTGTGTTTGTTTCTGTGTTTCTGTGTTTGTGTGTTTATGTTTGTGTGTGTGTTTGTGTGTTTATGTTTGTGTGTGTGTTTATGTGTTTATGTTTGTGTGTTTATGTTTGTGTGTGTGTTTATGTGTTTATGTTTGTGTGTGTGTGTTTGTGTGTTTATGTGTGTGTGTGTTTGTGTGTTTATGTTTGTGTGTTTATGTTTGTGTGTGTGTGTTTATGTTTGTGTGTGTGTTTATGTTTGTGTGTGTCTGTGTTTATGTTAGTGTGTTTGTTTGTGTGTTTATGTTTGTGTGTTTGTTTATGTTTGTGTTTATGTTTGTGTGTTTATGTTTGTGTGTGTGTGTTTATGTTTGTGTGTGTGTCTGTGTGTGTTTATGTTTGTGTGTTTGTTTGTGTTTATGTTTGTGTGTTTATGTTTGTGTGTTTATGTTTGTGTGTTTATGTTTGTGTGTTTGTTTGTGTTTACGTGTGTCTGTCCCCACCAGTACGACAGCGTTGGGCGGTCGTGTTGTTGTTGTTGTTTGTGCTTAGCGCCGACACAAACCCCCAAGTTCGATTCACAAACCCCACGGCTAACATCAGTGGCTAGTTGTAGTTGTTACACAGTGATCTGAAGAGGTCCCGGGCACCACACAAGTACAACGACTTAAGCACTGTACTTGGTGTGTTGTGTGTTAACATTAAGACAACTCCGTCAACACTGTGGAGGGGGAGGGGAGGGGAGGAGGAGGAAATCGTTGTGTTTATACAAACAAAAAAAGATAAAGTTTGTTAGGACCCACCTCTTCGATGTTGGAGAACGACTTCTTGTAGACGTTCATCTTGGAGGAAAAGGTCGACGTGGAGCTGGTGGTGCCATTCTCCCTGCACTCCTCCAAGAATTCATCCACGCTGAACAGGTCCATCATCATTGCTGCTGCTGCTGCTGCTCTGCTGTATTAAGCAGAAGCCACCCGTCTCTCGATAAATAATCGATTTGCTGCGGGTGATTATAACCACGCAAGGGCTGCCGAGAATGCTCAAACTATTATCTATTTGTTTTTAAATGAACGCTCACTGCGGCTGCGGCGGCCGCAGTGTGAACAGAGCGAGTCGACGATCGGGTGTCAAGTGCTGCTCATGGCTTGCCGGTGTCGGGACTGTCGATGATGATGATGTTGTTGTTGTTGGACTGAAAGTCGATGATGATGTTGTTGTTGGACTGAAGCTGACGTTGACGATGCACCCGAGAGGCGTTTGTGAGTCGCGGCACGTGTGTGTGTGTCGCGGCACGTGTGTGTGTGTGAGTCGCAGCACGTGTGTGTGTGTGAGTCGCGGCACGTGTGTGTGTGTGTGAGTCGCGGCACGTGTGAGTGAGTGAGTCGCGGCACGTGTGTGTGTGTGAGTCGCGGCACGTGTGTGTGAGTCGCGGCACGTGTGTGTGTGTGTGTGAGTCGCGGCACGTGTGAGTGAGTGAGTCGCGGCACGTGTGTGTGTGTGAGTCGCGGCACGTGTGTGTGTGTGAGTCGCAGCACGTGTGTGTGTGAGTCACGGCACGTGTGTGTGAGTCGCGGCACGTGTGTGTGTGTGAGTCGCGGCACGTGTGTGTGTGTGAGTCGCGGCACGTGTGTGTGAGTCGCGGCACGTGTGTGTGTGAGTCACGGCACGTGTGTGTGAGTCGCGGCACGTGTGTGTGTGTGAGTCGCGGCACGTGTGTGTGAGTCGCGGCACGTGTGTGTGTGTGAGTCGCGGCACGTGTGTGTGTGTGAGTCGCGGCACGTGTGTGTGAGTCGCGGCACGTGTGTGTGTGTGAGTCACGGCACGTGTGAGTCGCGGCACGTGTGTGTGTGTGAGTCACGGCACGTGTGTGTGTGTGAGTCACGGCACGTGTGTGTGTGTGAGTCGCGGCACGTGTGTGTGAGTCACGGCACGTGTGTGTGTGTGAGTCGCGGCACGTGTGTGTGAGTCGCGGCACGTGTGTGTGTGAGTCGCGGCACGTGTGTGTGTGTGAGTCACGGCACGTGTGTGTGTGAGTCACGGCACGTGTGTGTGTGAGTCGCGGTGTGTGCGTTGCGGGGTGCAGGCGTCGTGAGCTCAGCAGCACTCGGGCGTTGGGACGCCACAACTGTTGTGGGAGTGGCGAGCGTGGCAGCGCCCCTCCCCCTAATCCCCGCCCTCTCCTCCCCTACCCCCTACCCCACCCTTTCCCTCCTCTCCTCCCTCTCCTTTCCTCCCCTTCCCCCTCCTCTGCTTCCCCCTCCCCGTCCTCCTACTTCCCCCTCCTCCTCCACCCCTCCCCTCTTCGTCCCCCTCCCCTCCCTCCACCCCCCCTCCCCTCATCCCCACTATCCTCCTCCCCTTCCCCCTCCTCCTCAACCCCCTCTCCCCTGCTCCCCTCCCCCCTCGTCTCCCTCCCCTCCTCCCCCCTCGTCTCCCTCCCCTCTCCCCCCTGCTGCCCCCTCCCTCCTGCCCCCCTTCCTCCTCCCCCCTCGTCCCCCTTCCCCTCCTCCCCCCTCGTCTCCCTCCCCTACTACTTCCCCCTCCCCTGCTACTTCCCCCTCCCCTCCCTCCCACCGAGAAGACATCATATAGCCCTTCCCTTTATTCAAACACTCGTGCACAGTGCGATGGTTGCTGCGATGTGGCGATACCACGGTATATCAAGATCCACCATAGTCGTTTCGTCATTTTGGAAGTGCAGTATATCGTTATACCGTACCGATGGAGCCGTCCATAAATGACGTCACGCGGTTTTGGGCGATTTTTTTTACCCCTCCCCCCCCCCCTCTCGTTACACAGCGTCACGAAAAGTCAGACCCACCCCCCCCCCCTCCTCAAATATGACGTCACAAAGCTTAGCCCCACCCCAAAATATAAAACATGCTTCAAATAGTTTAACACGTAGGCTTCAAATAGCTTTATATTTATATAATAACTATTGTCATTGTAGTGCGTATTTAATGTGGCGCTGCACTATGATTTTATAGGAGTGGTTTTCTTTAACATGTTATTTATGTAGTTTATTATTTGTGTAGTTTATTCTTAAAAATTCGGTCACAGTCCCTATGATCACTGTTACGTTGCAATTGTGGCTTTATTTTTTGGTGATTTCGAAAAGTTTTTTGGGTTTGGACATGTTTGTTTTGTTGTAGTACGGAGTTAGACTGATGGCCTTAATCTAAGTTGTCTTGTGGTTGTTGTTGTTGTTGTTTGACTTGCATCCCACTGGGATTTTTTGCACACAGCGTTAGTGTACGGTGCTTTTTTCAGGAATATTTTTGCTGTGTTTTTTCATGGATTTTCTGTTTGGCACAGTCACACATAGTCACTTTAAGATGTTTTTCTTGTTCGTGTTTTTGTTTTTTTGTTTGTTGCGGTTGCACCCGATTCAAGAGCCGAATGGCTCACAGGGCTGTACCAAAATAAATAAACTGAACGGTGTTGTTATAACAATTAGTGTTGTTTTAACAATTCTATATTTCGATTTAAAGCTTTCGTGACTGCAAGGATTCATCTTCTTTGGTTCTTTCGGTAAAGTCACGTAGAATGAGAATAAAATAATAAATTGATAAAATAAAATAACACAATAATATTCTCACGACGTTTCGGCCACTCCAGCGCTGTCCTACCAGACAGTCTCGTCCCCTTCACCTGATGAAGGCCGCTTGTGTTGTGGCCGAAACGTCGTGAGAATATTGTGTTATTTTATTTTATCAATTTATTATTTTATTCTCATTCTACGTGACTTTACCGAAAGAACCAAAGAAGATTAATTCTATATTTATTTAAGGTTGCGCATTTTGATGTGACGTCACATTTCTCAACCTCCCCCCCCCTTGTCACACATCGTAACAAATGTCTGACCACCCCCCCCCCCCTAGGTGCGTGACGTCATTTATGGACAGCCCCTATGTATGCATACCTGTCAGCCCCTTATCGATGCACCTAGCTTATTACATACCAATTCAGACCTGACTGGTCACCCCGTGCCCCTTATAAATCTCAACGTTCATCCTACAAAGTCCCATCACAAGGGGCAAACACAAACAAATAGACAAATTGGGTTTTTTTTGCCCGTATCGAAACGACTGTACGCAGTATGGACCTGAAAACGTACGTGTTGACACGGTATGCGTATGTTGAACTTATTTCGCGAGTTACGTAGCCGACCGTGCTATTTTTCTTTTAACACAAATATTTGCCTTAATTCTCTCTTTTAGATTTGTGATTCAGCATGGAAGGGCTCGGTCAGCTGCGACTGTGGAGATGTTGTTACACGGTGGTAAGAGGGTGTCGGTTACATTGGACGCAATGCCAAAACAAGGGAGCATCGATCGGTGGGTGCTTTACACGTTACAGAAGTAGGGAACCGATCGAAAGCGTCAAAAAATCAAACACACGCAAAGAATATGACGACATTCTTAATACGAACAAAAATAGAGGGGCGGTGTGGGACGTGTCATTTAACTTAATAATATGTTCAGTTTGTAAATAAAGTAGTGCTTTACAAAACACGTTTCGGAGTAATTGAGGGCGTGGTGGCTGTCTGACGTAATCGTTCTGGTGGGCATGATTTCAATTATATTATTTGGTTATTGTGCCGCACAGCATATGTGCGTTTTAATAAAACGCCGTGTGGTGTGCATCTGCAATGATACGCATTTTGGCAGCTTTATGTGAGCTTGCAATCGAATACCTGATTTTGAGTCAATTTTATTCGTACTGGACGTACGTAAAAGCTCATATAAATAGTAAGATTAAAAAAAATGTCGAGTACAATTACAAAGTTATGGGAAGCTGATATCGCAATAATATTAAAATCGTGAAATATCATATCACGGAAAATCCCTATTCGAATATCTCAACAGCTGCTCACACTCACTGGGCCGTGATAAGCTCGTTCAGTGCGGTTTGGCCGGGATTGGCAACCAGGCAGTTTCGGTTTAAAAAAAAAATCTTGCTCCGCGTGCTGGAACTCGTGATTACAGCTCAAGGTTGGGGCTCCCCCCAAAGTGGATGGGCGAGGCTACTCGGGCATTATTTCGTATGACGGGTAAAGCTTATACGGTACTGTAATGGGAAGTCTAGTTTTATCGATCCACTCATTGGCTTCCAAAGATATCAAGTGATCCAGTCATCCTCGCAGCAGCGGATTTTGGCTGACCATCAAACAAAGACGGGCAACTGCATCGCGCGTTTTCAGATGCGCTTCTTGCGACCGCCTGGAACGCTCTTCCTTCCGATATTAGGAAGCCACTGGAGCTATGCACTTTTAAATCTATTTTGGAAACTCATTGCTAGAGAGCTACTTTTTGTGTCTCGTTTGTTGTCTTGCCCCCCGCATCTCTGATTAGCACGGTTGGCTACATACAGTGCGAAAGAAGTTCAAGATACATACAAATGGAGAAATGGAAGTCCCCCCTCCCCCGCATCCTCCAACATGTACTAGTGGGCAGGTTGATGTGACGTGTTCCATGGTCTGGGACTCATGACCACAGTCAAACTTGGGGTCATCGCTCATATTCCACTTGTGGAGCAGGTGGCTGCATCGCCCATGCCCTGTGCCGCCGATTCGGTTGAGTGCTGTCCATACTATCTTGGGTAGTCGATCGGTGTTTTCGGAAAAATATGTGGAGCCTATAAGCGGCCACTCGCCCCGGTCACATCCTCGTGCTAGTGCCGTGGTGGGTGTGGCTATGCCAAGGTGGGTGGGGCTGATGGAGCTCGGGGCTGCTAACTCAAGGCCTCCCCGAAATGTGATTCGCTTTATTTTACCCAGGGAAGCACCAGAACAAGACACACTTTGAAGAGGGTCCTGATTTTTTTTGGTGGGGATTGTTAGGGCAATACATCACTGTTTTTACTTGGTTTTTGTTTTGCACTTCTGTGAGGCTGGAGTGCCAGGGGTAACCCCCATGCATTCAAGGGGATTAATTTAACTCAAACTCACCGCAGATGTTGCTGTGACCTACTTATTATACTGCCTCTTCTTACAAGTACTCTATGCCGTAGCCTACACGCGTATGTCCCACGCAGGATATTGGGACACTGTATGCGTGCAGCGCTTTTGTCAAGCCGCACTACTGGATGATTACTTCATTTGCTTGATGAGCACCTGTACGGATCGTGGGGGTCATTTTACCGTACTTAACGTGAATTCCCGATTACAGTACACATTCAAAGTAAAGCGACCTAACGTCTGGTTGGTGTTGGCTGAAACAGAAAGATTAAGGCCACTCACTGTGAGTGGCGCAAGTAGTTAGGTGGGTATAAACAGTTTAAGGAAGCCGACAGCTCTCCAGGTGTCGAGGTTGAGCCTCCCGGAAATGTGGGAGCTTTGTCCATAAGATGGTCGCTACTTTACTT